TGTCCGCAAATGGCTGCGCGGGGATTAAAAGAGAAAGGGTCCGCAAAGCAATTCGTTGTAAAAAAAAAGCTTTGCGGCCAGGACAATAAAGAGTGTCGGTTTGGCCATTAGGATTAATCGTTGCGGCGGTATACGAATGTCGCCTTTTTCCTTGTTATCTGTTGGAGGTATGTGTATATATATCAAAGGCAGCTAGCACAGGTCGATTAATTGCCTATCGATCGCTTTGCATCAAGAGAGAGAGAGAGAGAGAGAGAGAGAGAGAGAGAGAGAGTGAGAGAGCTTTGGCGAAAAGCCTCATCCTTTTCGTGGCCTTTCAGAAGCTCCATCCTAGCATAATACCCTAGCGTATACGCAGCCTAATGCGCTTACGAGGCTTCATGTAGGTCAGCTTCCGATTTCAAATCAAACTCATTATCGCTTGGTTAGTTTTCAACGGGCGACGCATAGGCGTACACGCGCGACTGTGTAATCTAATCCATTTGCGACGGCGAGAGACAGCTATGCATAATTCACTTTGGTCCACACGCTCGATTCTTCAATGTCCCTTGCATCCCGAGCAAGATTAATGAGGTCCAATCGACCCTACGACGACAACGACGCTTGCGATACTTATGAAGGGCCCAGAGATCCTCGTAACTCAACACCTTGGCAACGGGCACAGGTATGAACGATATGCGTTTAAGCTTTATATATGTGTATCTCTTTCTCTCTCTCTCTCTCTCTCTCTCTCTCTCTCTTTTGTCTCCGCGAAAAAGAGAGAAAGCTCGAATATTTTATGCCACGAGTTTTTTTTTCGGCGAGCTATGTTGGTACCGTGTATGCGCGTCGCCTGCATTATTTAGAAGCTATTTTTCATATTTTGATATGGAAAGTCAATTTTTAACTGCGAGTTGGAATCTCATTTTTCGTAATGGTTAAATATTGTTTTATGTTAAAAATTTTTTTACATAGAATGTGAATGCCCTCGAACGTTATAAGCGAATAGTAGTAGCAACTAGATTTACATAATAATTCATTCGACCAAGTACGGTATAATCAAAGTTTGATGTTTTAATTCTAAAGACCCTTTACAATTTACCGCATGAAAACTTTGTTGATAAAAGCTTTTTTGATAAAGTTTGATGTACTCTAATCGCAATTGCGAATTGGAGCAAAACTGTTCAAGTTTTGTCTAATTCGCTGTTTTCCAGCTCTTGGACTGAATTGATAACAATCCCGTAAAGATACTGAATACGAAATACTGAAGAAGCTTTAGCTTGCTTTAATACGGGCATTGGTAGTAGAATCCAGAGACTTGGAGTAAATATTAAATTTTTGCTGCTAACGTCATTAGCAATGTACTTTCTCGAAAAATACATATATTTTTTAAAATAAAGTAACGTGCTTTTAATTTTATAGAAAATATATTTCATTTGTGGTAACGTACTTGAAGTATTAGTTATTGTGACTAGAATATGAGGAATGTTGTATTATGACTGGAACATTAAAGTATTAATTATGAAAATTGATTATTATTTAATATACTTTTGAATTCTTTAAGAATGATCCACAATTCAGATAGTGTAATAGTGTAATTTATTAAAATTTTTGCATTCTTCTATAAAAGTTTTGTTCCGTATGATTTACTGATAATTTTCTTTTGTTCTTGATAGAACTAAATTCTTGCTACTTGGTTATCGAATTAATTTATATGTCTTTTCTTATAATATTCAATCAGTAGCATTCGAAGTCAACAAAATCAGTTGTCTGAAAATAATGATTAAGGAAAAAAGTATATTTGCTATAATTTTCGAAAACATCGATCAATAGTGATCAAAGTTAATATAATTTCAATAAAAATGAATATAATTATAGTTTTAGAATTTGATACTGAATTCACTGTAGATATCAATTTTTCTGTAATCTTAACTTTCTTACTTTTTCGAGGAAATGACAAGAAATCACGAAAAAGTGACGATTAAAAAATTTTAATAATTATTTAGTACGATGACCAATCGCCTTGATTTCACTGCTATAGAACATAATTACAAAGTCTCACAAACGTAGCCCTAAAACCATTTTAGAACAATCAATTGTTGTAGATGTAATAAAAGCAATACGAGAAGAAATCAATCAAAATTTGACAAATCTGGATAATTTAAAAAAAAAATTGACCGATAGCTTTGAAACGTCGGTTGTTTTGAAAGACGACGACAAGAACCATGACTAGGAAGTCTTATAAATGTAACTTTAACAGTTGAATTGATATCGATTAAGTAGAAGGTAACCAGATGCACACATACACAGACATGCACATTTATTATAAAAATGTGACGTTGGCAATCAGCAATCACGAAAATGTAGAAAAAACTTAAATTCAGGCGATGAAAAATGTTCATCATTAGAAAGCTTTCTCTTGGAGAAAGCAAAACAATGCTCGATCAATGAACCACGATATATTCTGTATATATAAGCAAGTCCAGGCGTAACCCGTGTTGTCCATTAAGCGTTTAACGAAAATACACGGCAGCAGGCCGTGATCTAATGAAGATAACTAACCCGCAGCGGCGCCAGATAAAGAAAACAATCCCGGCAATATTGCTTAATTAAAGACTTTGAAAAATCGCGCGCGCGCGCGCCACGGCGGAGTCATGCGCAAAAGAAAGCCATTAATCGAGCTTGATCGTGTGTCCCCGAGAGTGCCGACTTTCTTCCTTTCTCTTCAGAGCCGTAAAACAACGCAGGCTTTAGACACACTTTGGAGACGCTCGAGTTTCTCTTGTATCTCGAACGACAGAGCTAAAAACCTACAAACGGGGCTTTCAAAGTTGTGTGTCTCTCGGTCGATTAGCGCTTTACGCGCGATCAACTTTTTTCTTGTAGCACAATGCGACTTGAGCTGTTAAATTGGCGTTTGCCAGTTTTTAAGCTGACGAATCATTGGATCTACGCGTGATCGCATCTGGCTTTGATCATTACCGATTATATTGTTCGAGCGGCAACTATTTACGCGTGCAACGAATTGCTAATTCGTAAATGAAATGCTTTCGATATGTCAGGCGAAGCTATCGCTTATTAGGCATTGCACGAATAATCAAACGTTAATTTAATCCACGAACCAAATGTGCAAGCAATCGGATAATGCAAACGAACAACACGTCAGTCCATGCCTAATGCGGAAAAGATTAGTGCAGTGGCAGTAAGTAAAAAAGATGTAATGCGTGTGACATTGCGGCATCTTTAAATGGTGTCGCACAGGGAGAGAAAGAGAGAGGAAGACATTACCAAAGCTTGTACAATTCGAGTCGCGGACTCGCCTGCTCGAAAAGAAGCAGCTAGTCTCGAGCAGCAGCATCCGAAAATGGTCGAGATCGATATCTCCGCGCGAGTGTGCGTGTGTAAGGCTCGCAAAGTGCACGGCCCTATCAATACAAATAAGCGAAAGAAAATCTCTCGCTTTCTCAAAAGAGCGGGCTGCTCCTTCCTCCCTTTCCCATTGCGGCTCATGAGAAAGAGAAAAAGTTGTAGGTATATCGAGAGAGAGAGAGAGAGAGAGAGAGAGAGAGAGAGAGAGAGAGAGAGAGAGAGAGAGAGAGAGAGAGAGAGAGAGAGAGAGAGAAGAGGGAGGGATAAATGAGGTTCGAAAGTGGGCTACGTGTCGCGCGCCGGTAACGATATATCGTCGACGTGAGCAGCACCCCCAAAAAGCCCTGCGGATTTGTTCCGTATTTTCCCCAGTTTTATTCCCCCGCTTTCTTCATTGAGTGCCCAAACCGATTCTCAAGCTCAGCTTTCAGATTAATCGCCTAGAGATTAGGCTGCTGGACGAATTTTCTTTGCACGCGAGCATTGTTCATCAATCCAACTCGTTTCGAAATTTCCGATTCCGTCTTTCGCCATCGCGATCTGCCTCATTTGATGACAACGTCAACGCTTATCCGGAAAAACGGCGAGACAAAATGAAAAATGCAGGAAACTATTTATCAAGAAGCTCAACAGACCGCGCAAGACGTTTTAGGGGAACAGTCGAATTACGTGACGGTTGAGCTGCTCTTCAGTGACAATAACGACAAGTTATACGTGCATATATTCAAAGACCTATCATTTGAGAAAAAAAAAGTACTAGGACAATGCGACATAGTGAAGTGTCGTGAACAGTGCCTTATACGGAATTCATGAGCGTCGCCATGAGTTTAAATATCGATTTGCCATCAAGAGGACGGCAATAAAACACACTACACACTAAGAGTCTGAATTTACATGGCATCGGAAGCAACGTTAGATCTCTTGCTCGGATTAATCCTACCGAGAGAGTGAGAGAGAGAGAGAGAGAGAGAGAGAGAGAGAGAGAGAGGGATAAGCTGCCGGATGCGGGGTTTTAGGCCGAGCGCCCTTAGCCTAATGCGTTTTATTATGTTAGCTCCTCTCCGTTCGCTGCCGACTAATGGAATTTCAACGATTGACGAATGCGCTTCGCGGGGGGGGGGGGGGGGTGGCGTCCGACATTTTACGCACGAATTCGATTTCGCCTTTTATACTTACATTCGTATATATCAATTGTCTCATGAATATTGCATGCGTTATATTGTTCGCAGCGTTTCGCGCGAAACGCGCGGCTTTTATGCGCCGACTATTATTACGGCCGCGTTTCTCTGAGCGCCAATTGGTTTGTATCCCATTCGAGCGAGCGCGCGAGCCAAGTGCCGCGCCATTTTTTCTCTCTGCAATGAGGAAAGCAAAGGCGCCTCGTTGTGCATCTCCATCCTGCAAAGAATGGAAATGGCGTTGGTGGTCTCGCGGAGCTGATCGCTGGCGGTGAACGCGCGCTCGATATCGCGCACAGCAGCCTCGGGAAAGCGCAACCGATCTCGCTGGAAGGAAAATGCCGGCGCGCTGGCGGCGCTTCGGTCCCTCGGTTCTGCCGGCCGCCGGAGGGAGCTCGCGCCGGGAAACGTTCGGTAGCGCCTCCAACAACGAGAAACGGCCGGTGAACGGGCGTTATACAAAAAACATCTGACCTATACTCCATGGGCGCTGAGAGTGCAGCACTTTGGCTCCGCGGTGAGTTGAAGTCCACTCCAGCCTGTCACTTATCCGTGGTGCACTTACATCAACAAATCGGGTGTCCCCTCTCTCCCTCTCTGTTTCGAGATCAAGTCTCTCGCGCACACGTCAACTCGCACACTCTCTGCTTGTCCGTGCCGGACACACTGCGTGTCCCAAGAGAACTTCCCTCCGCGCGAGAGCAGCTCGGACGCGCTAGCTTATCGTTGTCGTCGATGATCGGCAGGCTGGGCAGGCTACTTCGAGTTGGGTTGAGCTGAGGCGACGTCGAGAGCTGACTGAGCAGGCGCGCTGGTGGTCGCGCGCGAGCGGAGCAGCAACAACGGCAACGCCAGCGGGAAAAGATGGTGGGGAGGGGTCTCGGCTAGGCGAGAGGGGGAGGCCGCGCGTTTTCACCGGCATGTAGCAACAGGCAAGTCGCTCCGCCGCGGAGAGAGAGACGGAGGCAGTGACGTCAGCTGCGCGGGCGCGCGCGCGCGTGACGTAGGCGTGGTCACGGATGCGCACCGACACCTCGCGTTGCTGTCAAACCCGCGACGTTGTCATAGTGACTGCATGCGCTCTCGCCACTGCAACCAACAGCACAAGCGTACACAGACTCTCGTGGCGAGGACGCTCTCTCGCTTTCTTCCACTCTGCCGCCGCCTGGCGCTCGCTTATTTTTCTCCGCTTGTTCCTCCTTGCCGGCATCCTTGCCCCTTGACGCTTATGCAACGAGCCATGTTCCCAGTTGCATTTCGAGTAGTCGCCGGACGTTTATTATCGCGCTGCATTCCGTTTATGATCGCAGTATGCGATGAGCGGGGATCGTTTTTGCCGTTGTCGTATACGACAAGTCCGGGGAGCGAGAGAGAGAGAGAGAGAGAGAGAGAGAGAGAGAGAGAGAGAGAGAGAGAGAGAGCGACGGACAATAGAAACAGAACGGCCAGGGGGAACTTTATAGGAGAGTGTGCGACAAGAACAGATGTCACATTTACTGCCTTACTGAGTTGGATATATCCAGCGTTTTATCCTCTTGGCTTGTATATGCTTCTTTTTGCGGGGGCACGACACGCACATCCACTCATGAGGTATGCCTGTATTTCGCTGCATGACGCTAATGCTGAGCAGAACCACGTCGCGCTCTTCGTTTTCTTCGTTCCCGCCGGTAGACTTGGCAGGCGAGAAACAAAAGACTTGGCGGGCGACTGTGGGAAATTGGCAAAGGAATGAAATTACATAATGCACCTCATCCGAGACAAAGATCCGTTCTCCGGGAAACAAAGTAAGCCCATCGATGACTGTCGGCAGCAGAGAAACTCTCTCTCTCTCCTCTCTCTCTCTCTCTCCTCTCTCTCGGTCTCTCTCTCTCTCTCTCTCTCTCTCTCTCTATCTTTTTACGGGGAAAAGGGAGAAGGAGCAAATAAACGAAGGGTCATCGGGGCGTGACGAGAGTACGCCACGAGAGGGAAAGGCCAAAGCGAGCGTGACGGTGATTGAAATCAAGGTAAAACGTAATATACATTTTGCACGCGGCACCCTTTTTTCAGGCAAATCTTTTCATCGACTTTTGCATTTTCTTCGTGTACCAGTTTTTAATGTACTACACAAGAGCCTAATCAGGGATAATCGAGCAAATATGGCGACAGATCCATTGGGTCACGTGGTGATGGTAAAATTCCTTTCTTCTCTCCAAAGGGGAATGCACCAGCGTATGGTCAGACGCGTGATTATACGTGCGCGATTGTTTGGTAGCGACGGAAATGAGAATTCATCAACGTTGATGCTACATAATCAACGATATTGAATCAGCCAGCAGATTAATGCATAGCACTCGCTGCTAATCGGTTTACTAGCCGTCTTGTTTTTATGTATTTTCGTGCGCGATTTGCATTATAATGACGCTCCCCATTCGGAAAATGAAAATCTAGAACGAGCGGAGCTTTGATTCCGAGCGATATAGTCGGTAAATAGCAAAGCTAATACTCGCGGCAGGAAAAAGAAGGCAGGCGAACAATGCTCGGCGGCCAGCAACGAATAATTTTATCCGGTCAGCATTTCTCTCGTACTTTCCTTCTCGCGTGCGCAAGTATGCCAGAGAGAGAGAAAGAGAGAGAGAGAGAGAGAGAGAGAGAGAGAGAGAGAGAGATGGAGAGAGTGAGCGCGCATTCAAATACTAATGAGGTTTCCGTGTATTCCGAGATGATAGCTGGGCTTCTCCTTCTCGTGGCGGCGGCGCCTACATATTGCCCGTAATTCAATTGTGCAGCGCGCAGGAGAGAGAGAGGAGCAAGCAACGTTGCCGCCGCCGGAGTGCCGAAGTTGAAAGCTAATTTCCGGGGCGCGCCAGAACACGGCGAATCAACTGGTTGGGATTCCCTCATCGATTAGGCCTCGGCTGGAGCACCTAATTGCTTTCGTTCGCGCTTTTTTTCCCGCACGATCCTCGGTGCGTGGTCACGACAACTCGCTGGCTCAGGCTCGGCGAGTACAGCCATCGCCGCGTCCGAGTTCTGCTTTCCAAGCGAAAATTCGACGCTGCTCTGTGAGGCTCGCACGCGGGAGGCAATTGTAATAGCGCGCCGGCGCCGAGAGGATCAAGTTCTGCTTTATTAGCCGCGAAGCGGCAAAGCGCCGAGAGGAGAAAAAGGCATTAGCTTCAATCACGAGGGCGAGCGGGCGCTCGTCGGAAGCTGCGCGCACTCGATTTTTCAGCGGCCAGAGAGGGAGAGAAATTCCGACGTGAAATTGAGTTTAAAATGTTTTTGATGTTGATTGCGGGTTATTCGATCGAATCGCTGCGCCGCGGCTAATGAGACGAAATTGAAGGGCGGCACGAAGCTTTTCCTTTCCTCGCTCGGATCAATTGGATTTCGACTTTCCAGCAAGTTTTTCGCGCTTGTTTGCATACACGCGGCAATTAATGGTGGCTGTAAAGGCGCTCTGACGTCAAAGCGACCAGCACCGAGAGAGTAGTAGTTCCGATGACTCGGCCGGTTACCGTTACCACACTTGTCTTTACGACACTCGTTCGCGCGCGTTACATGCTTCTACCTCCTTCTCTCTCTCTCGGTCTCACTCTCTCTCTCTCTCTCTCTCTCTCTCTCCCTCTCTCTTTCTCTCTTTCTCTAGGATGTGTTCTGCTGAGCTTTCCTTTTCTCGCACTCCTATAACTATCCTCGATGGCTTTGGCTATGCTGTTTTATGGTCGTTCCGATATTTTTGGTTTGAAAAAGTCATTGTTTACTTTAGTATTTGCAGACTTGCAAAACATGCTTGAGAAAAGGTACGCATTCGGTGAAAAATTTTATAAAGTTATTGGCGCTGCGTTTGGGTCTGACCAAACTTGATTCATACCACTCGATCTCTAACTCGAGCATATTCAGATTCAATTTGAAGGCCAGCGTTTTTCGCCTCCACTAATGTGATGAGAACAGATGATCTCGTAAAAATCTCACTGCCAAATCTCGTCGATATAAATTCACAATGTTCTGATCGAGGAAAAAATCGCCAAATCGGCGGGAAAAAAATCCCTCCTGAAGATGGCACACAAACCGCGGCTTTGCGGCTCCAGATAAAAATCGAAAGAAAAAAAAAGGTAAATCGACGCATATCCCACTTACTTTGCATTGCGCGCGTGCAGTGGGTAAAAAAGATTCGGCAGAGAGAAGAAAAAAAAGGGCCGCTATGGCAAATCGATCGCGCGCCGTCGTCGCTTCTTCCGATATTTACGAGGGGCCGAGTCAGCGGCCAAACCCCTTAATCCGAATAACGTGCAGCGAAGAGTTGCTTGGATTATACTGGAGGTGCGCGAGCGCTGGGAAAATTGAAAAATGATAATTTAAGGGCGCGCACGAGCGCTATAGGTCAGCTATATACGCCGCGAGTCGAGTATAAGGCTTTGGCTTATTTGAAAATAGATGGAAATTTCTCCTCTTCTTTTTTCGTCTGTTTACCTCCGAGCTCCGCTGTTTCTTTGTTTTTCCACGCGTACAGGGAAGATTTATACTCTTCGTGGAAATTTTCCTGCGAGATTATCGTTGCACATAGCTAATTTGCAATTTGCATTGTCCCTCGACTATCAAAGAAAAAGTCTTCAGTCTGAACACGCCGACTGTTCTGTGGCCCACGTATACATTGTATTATTCATTTATTTTTTCTCGTATTTTTTCGTAACTTGATTGTTGCTGAACAGACCTACTTTACACTATGGGTTTATCTGCAATTTTAACGCGTATCGTGCTACACGTCACGAATGTATCGAATGTATCGGCGTTGGATAGTGACGAGCGCGATACTCGAATGCTACTGTATTTCTATCGCGCTCACTTGGAAAAAACGTGTTTGGTCATCGCGAATAGTAATGCAATCACTAAAAATGGCTGGATTGGGTTTGATTACAGTTACACTTGTTTTTCTTTATCGGTCACTAAATAATATTACAACGAATTTCACTGGTAATGATATCAATAGAGTATCTTACGGGTGAGTATCGGAAGGTCTCGCGTAAGCCGAGTAGTGCTTGGAAATTGGGCGAGATTTTAGATGTCAGAAAAAATAGCGCTGACGCTCGGTTTATTTTCGAGAGTAAGAAATTGCCAGGGCAAGTTGGGCGAGCTAAGAGCGTTATCTTTTGAATCCGGAAAAACGTTGCGGGTTCAAGAAGACGCGAAGAAGCGTAACACTCGAAGAATTTTTCGAGCGCGCGCCTCGAACGAAATGATCTAAAGGCAAAAGCAATTTATTTTCCAATCAATAACGAGACATCGCTCGGAATAGCCCGCCAACATCCCATCTCGGGCTCCCTCTCTCTCTCTCTCTCCGAATCCTTTATCCAGCACGGCGAGAGCGCGCGCGCACGGACAGGAAGGTATTTCACTTGCAGAATTTAAACGGCTGCCGCTGCTACTGCGCGCGGCAGCTGGGCGGGTTATAAAAATGTAAACGTAGCCTTTGGCCCCACCTACCACTCGGCGTGTAAACACCAAACTTGCTGCCGCCGCTCTCTGACCGTTCTCCCGTCGGTTCCGCGTTGTCTTAGCATAATGCATAATGATCGCTTGGCCCGCCGGAGCAACAAACTTTCCGTCTTTTTCCGCCGACGGGAAATGCTAATCCCGAACCGGCGAAAAAGTACAGGCGCGCGGAGGCGCGCAGAGAGCCGGCGGGCCGGTCTTTACGATGCGCGAGCACGCCCGGTTAAATGGCCGACTTACTTTTACAGCGACGACGCGAGAGAATTTATTTCGGCTGGGCTGCCCGCCTGCCCGCCTGCCCGCGCTTC